TGCTTAGTTGCTGGCTGGGGCTAAACCACGACAGGACCTTAACCAAAAAAGTATGGTAAACAATAGTAGAAAAACAAATGATATGCCAGCTAGCAGGACAGAAAGTGGAAGAAGCAGCTGCAAAAGTAATCAACTCTCTACCACATAAACTATTTTGGATAGTAACTGAACAAAGAAAACCTGAGCACTCTTCACTTTATTTATAGGCTGACAATTTAATGGTAGTACAACAGGATGCCAGACAAGGTCAGGATTTGAAAGTTAAATGAATGCCCTACTAAGGAGAGGGTTCAAGTTTTAAGAGAGAAGGCTTAGCCCCAACAAAGTATGTCCACTCATGAGGCAGGAGTAGCAGCAACAGGTTCCAAGGAGTGCCATGACAAATATCTCCCATTATAATGATAAAACATTAATTTAGTGTCTTAGAATAAATCAAGAAATGATAGCCGAGAAAACACAGGTAAGAAGATGACAAAATGTTTTATAAATATGTATTTACATTCTTAATGCTTTGGTGTCATTAAAAACAATCTTGAGACATTTCACCCACCTTAACAGCTGGATGAAGACCACTGTCAAACAATGCTTCATTTTTTATGATGTTTCCCACTCCAGGTAATACCGCTTGATCCAGTAACACCTCACACAACATGCGGGTTTTCTGCTGCTTAATCTCACTTTCTGCTCTTAAGAAGTTAAACTTTGGAGAACAGACATCCAAGCTTTCCATCATTCTCACTTTCCTCTCGCTCTCAGCTGCATTTCTGGAAGAGAAAAATACATTCAGATATATTTTTATTTTAATTATATGCTAATACAGCAATAGGGTTTCAAAAAACAACACATGAAAGTATAATAGAACATTATATGCAGATAACAGAAACCATGAAAATACCAGTGACAGGAAGAGGCACAGAAATTACGCTAACCACCCCTCCACAAAAACAGGTCAATGATACATGCATGGAACATACATCTGGTACAATATACCAGAAATCATCCTCACTTTGTTCATATTAGTTTGAAAAATAATTGCCAGGTCCTTGCTTTAGAACTACTTCCAACATGGAAAGACCATGTGTTTGGACCATTGGACATAACTAACTGCATGGTTACATGGTCCAGTAGTCACAACATGACAATAAAACATATATTTTCTTAAACCTTGATTTTATTAGGTTAAGCATAGTCATTTGAAAATAATAAACTACAAGAAGTCTCAGGCTTACAGAAGCTTTTATGTTTTGTAATATTAAATAAGGACGTATATGTTACTTGAATTTACATGTTCCTTTTCACTCAAGAGCCACTCAAGAGCTTTAAAATGAAGCTTGCTATGTTATTTTTATTAGCAGTGAGAAGTACAATGCTGATGGACAAAAACATCCACTTAATGTCAATTAGAATAATTATAGCAATTTGCTTCCAAAAACAAAACAAAATAAAAACACAACCTTGGGAGCATAAAAATTTGAAAACAGTAATCAATGCAGGTCCTTATGCTGGTTAAGGAAGTGAGACTTGCATTGAAATTAAAGGAGCAATGGGGTTCAGCATTCAGATCTAAGGGCAGAATTAAATCCAACTTTCATTCCCAGTCTTGACACTACCAAATGAGACTGTGACATAGAACTACTTTAACTGTGTGTAAACTGATACAGAAGTAAAAAAATTAAATTACCATACCAATAAATATATGTTTAGAAAGTTTTGGTTTGTTTCCTTGTGTCTAGAATAGCATCCAAGCACTTAATTTGTGTGTGATTTTTCACTATGTTCTTAAAAGAATGTGATAAAAAGAAATAAACCAAGCTGTGTGTAATTTGGTTAGTTTCTGCTTTACCTATACTCTACTGTCACCTCAAAGAAACAAACTGTATCCTCTGTAAGCTGTATCTCCAAAACCGGTAGCACTCCATTTCTGTCTTTGCTTCCATCAGGATTAATGCGCATGGAACCGTTCATACCAAAGTGAATCCTCAGAAAGAGAGAGAGTTCTTATGGGTATTTTATCTTAACAATGTTTCCAAGCATTACACTGGTCTATTTTTTGAAGTTATGAACTATTCTTACCTAACCAAGTCAATACGTATGTACATTAGTTCTAGTCATTAAGAGTAACATGGCAAGAAACTACTTGGTTATGTAGTGCGCAATTCCCAGAGAAGAACCCTCCCCAAGTCAAAACCACTCCAAAACATAGCAGTTTTCCAGCGGTGGTCTTAATTCATTATACAGAAGTCAAACCTGATCATTAAGTAACACACTTTTCTGGTGTGCCACACTTAGAATTTTTTCACTTGACATGCTGGTCTTCCAACATTGGTTCTTAAGTCCTCAGGGAGGCTGAAAAAAATGAGGCCACTTTACCAGACAATTTTCTGTTAAATCAGGCAGAAGTGACCTGGTACGAAAGGAAAGATTTCAGTCCCCATATTGCCAACACTTATTATGTCAAAGCTACTTCCAATAACACCATGAACACAGTAATTAACATCTGCCATATGTTGTTTTCTGCTTTTCTTTGCCTACAACCAAGGCAAAACCTGCAGGTCAATTAAAAATTAATAAAACAAATAAACTGAAAAATGCACAGATGGAAAAGGAGTGGAACAGACTCTTTCAAGCATTCCTTTTACAGATCACTAATGCTTTAAGAGGTCTTACATTTTATAATACATTTTACTGGGAGACAGTATACTTGAGCAAAGGACAGGTTTGACTATGGTCTCATACATTTTATTCATCACAAATTCACCTGGTACATTCAAGTCCTAAAAAGCCATAAGATAGAGGGAGTGTCCTACTTCTATATATTGTATATCAGAAAAGGTGGATTATTTTGTAGCTACAAAGAGATTTAACAGATTAAGCTACACAAATGACCAAAGAAATGCAACATCAGGTGTGTATTTCCTTTTAACCCCTCTTTGTTACATTTCAGCAAGGACAGGCTTTTTAAATATTTACAGATAGGTTAAGAAAACATTTCATTAAGCATAGTTTTAAAGTCAACTCTTTATGTAACTTCCTCATAGCATTTATTCATTAATTTTTTTCAATTTTCAAAAACCTGTGTCTTTCCAAAACTCTCTTCTTCGAAGTCAGTTCAGGTGATACAGTTATTTCAGCCACTTTTATTTTCAATAGCCATTTCCAATTCTCAAGTGCCATTAATAGTACTGCGCAGGCTTAACTAGTCAAATTTCTTTTTAAACCAACCTCTTGCAGCTTGCTACCAAATGGTAATGCAGTAAATGCTTCCAGAAAGTTCTTTTCGCAGAAATAGCATTCACATTAATAGGTGATAGTTTCATTTACCAAGCTCCAGTATAGTGCTTAAAAGGAGCGTTAAAAATCACAACTATTAGCTACCTTAGGGACTTTTCAGTTTATGACTATAAAAAATAATTGAGTCATCACTACACATTTACATTCAAAAGCCTTAAGAAATTTACAAAATTTCCCTCCAATGTGTTTCATTATTTGATATCCTGAAATAGGGCAAACCAGAAATCATCTCATTTTAATTACAAATAAAAAAGCCACGCTAATTAAGCCTAGATCTTTTATTCAATGATAGCTAGCAGTAAGGAGTTGATTTTTTTGTCATTTTAAAGTAAAAACATGAGGTTTTAGAATTATTTAGTGCTACACAATATTGTAAGGATCTGCTTTTATTTAAAACATTTTTCCCCATAAAAATAAAAGATTAGTAGCAGCACAGTCAAACTATTATATGGAGATGTAAAAAACAGTGACAATTCACATTATCAAGTTCTAAGGGCAAAGATGTAATTTCCAGTCAAGACAATGGATGTCTTTCCTTTAAGGGATTTGGAGTCAACAATTCTCTCTTTCCTATGAATATTTGTGTCGATTTTCAGTTATGCAAAAACATATGTGCATTATGAATTTTCAGAAACTTTTCTAAACCATTTATCATTCCAAATTTACATTAATAGCATACTACAGAAACTAAACCCAGAACAACCTCTGTCTTCTAACTGTAACATTTCCATGGCAAAACATACAGTTCATGCAAGTCTCTCCTGCACAACTCACAAGTATCAGAGAATTTTTTTCAACTTTCATTGATTATTTAAGTGACTTTCAAGGCAAAACTGAAAAAAAAACCCCTCAGATTTTCCAAAAAACCTTGACTTTCTTCAGTGACTTTAATGCCCTTCTTTAAATAGACATCAAAAAGTAGAAGTACTAATTTCTTCAGAAGGTGTCATTGCTCATTTGTATTTCTGAAAAAAAAGCTTCTACAGCCTGCCGTGGATTGCAAATATACTGAACTTCATTTGCTAATTGCTATCCACAATATGGCAACACTTCAGAAGTATCCTACTCATTTGCAAGTCAGGCAAGCAGTAGCCAAATTGTATAAAATAATTTCACGGCCAGGTTATCTTCTCCCACCAGGCAGTCATTCCCCACTTGAGAAAACCCAGGAGCATAAAATGAGTTAATTACCCTTTGTGGCCCAGACTTTCACAAGACATGTCTGACTAACTTTATTCCAGCATGACTACCAGCTTTTTGCAGGTCATCTTAGCAGACAAGAAAAGCTGGTTTTGTTATGTTGAGAAATTACATACAGATACAGAATCTGTATATCGGTAACCCTCCTCATGACAAGAAAGTCCTATATTTGAGAGTTAACTTTATTAAAGAAATAATACATCCTCTGAAGGCATATTCCTTATTTCCCCTCCCAATAACAATCCTGGAAGCCAATCTTAGACTGCTGTAAGATGCGTTTTCTCAAGCCTTCCTCTACCTCCCCTCTACATCTTTAAGATACACAACATACATTTTTAAACCAAGAGAATTAAGATCTTCATTATCAGATAATAAGTAACTTCTGACTCCTGTGCGGAGGAGACCTTTTCTGTACATAACTTCTACAATGTTTCCAATCAAGTAAATGACATGACTAAAGGGACTTCTTAAATACAGTTTCTAGAACTACAATAACTGATAAGTTGATGAAACTTTTAAGCTTATTATCAAATGATAACTGAAGGTTGTTTTCATTAAGTACAATAACTTATTGCATTGGCTAGAAAGCTTAAGAATTATTTAAGATCTTTCAGGATCAAAAGATTGTATTTTCCATACTAGACCTTGGCCACATTTTCTTTCTCTTTGAAGAGAACTTTTGCAAAATGCTTACTTACATTCCTTAGTAATAGCTTTTTTCTTCTCATAACGTAATTCAGTCTGTTGAAACAATGTTTTCTTATGGTATAATTTACTCCTTTGCTTATCCAATCAATTTGCAATACACGCAGTAGTCACTTAAAAAAGGCTAACATCTGTATCAGTTACCTCCCCTGCCTTTTTTTATCTTCCTTTATAACTGACTTTTTTTTTTTTTTTTTTAAAAAAAACCTGCTTTTTCTCTGTTTCTATTTAATAAAGCACAATACAAAGCAAGAGAAACCGATTAGGACCATTATCCTATCCTTCACAAATATGGGTATCTTTAAACACATATGCAGTCCTGTCCTACTAGTTACTTGTATGATTTTCATGTAAAGACTGGGATGTGCTTCGCAGACTAGTTGCATTTCTCTAACACTAGGAGAAATAAGCATATAGCACTATATTTGATAACCAGCAGGCCCCTGCTACCAAAGATCAGTCTACATATCACCCCAGGTAACTACTAATATATCACTGCCTTTATTTATCCAGCATGCAACCGCTGTAAACAGTTGTACTCACAGCCAAGCATTTTCAGATCCATCTCCCTCCTATAACAGCAGTGCCACTGGCAAAATATTATGTCACAGAATTGTAGGGTATTTGTTGATATTATCAGTTTTAAATGAACAAAAATCATGACCTTACACCTTTGTTCAAGATCAGTCACTAGGTGACAAAGACTACACTGAACTTAGAAGTGATGTTGTCTTCCTATTTAAAGATTTAGAAAGATTAGAATTATGTTGCAAGTAGAAGGGTAAAAGAAAAACATTAAATGCAAGCCTTACATATTAAATAAGGGCTTTATTTATGCATTCTATACTAATTACCATGAAGAATGAGAGGGGAATTTTTTAATAATCCATTACACTGTGCATTTGGTTAGATTTTTTTTTTTAGTTGACTTTGCAGTACAGAAGCATAATGAACTAGAAAAAGTAAACTAGATTCCAAATACAACCTTGGTGCTAGTACAAGAAGATGTCTGAGGGGTTAAAGCATATTGCAAAATCCTAAATATGCCAACAAACCCCTAATAAGCTCTGCAAAGCATGAACAAACAACAATTTGGCAGTTTTACCATTTGTCTAGGAGACATGGTTTCACTGGAAAGTCAAGTTACATTTATGATACCCAAACCATTCCTCTGCCAAGTATCAAACCATGCTTCTAAACCAAGGAGTTGTTAATATTGTTTAAAGAAAGAAAGGCAGCATAAATGTATACACACAGAATATTTTAAGTTTGGCAATTTTTTCACACAAGTTTATTATCAGAGAAATTGAATCATTAAAAGTTAAGTACAGAATTTCAGTCTAAATTTCTTAAGGAAAGTTAAAAGAAATTGCAAGTACAGTTTGTAGTGGAAGATATTAAGTAACTGCAACTGCATGCACTTCTCTGAGTTTTGTCCCTAGAAAATGCAATGTCCTGTTCGAAACAAAGCATTTCAAGGAATAACTGTTCTTTTCAGATACCTTTACATGGAATCTTAGACTAAGAAGAAAACAATAAATTATCTGAAAATGTAAGTGCCTATATCCAGTATTTCCAGCACTGCAGAGAGGCTGCTGAGAAGTTTCTCCATAACATTAACTTTCAAATGCCTGAAATTGACATTAGCAAGAACAAGATGACCCCTGGGAATACATACAGTCTGAACACATAGGAAGCCTTTTTCTCGCCTCTTACCTCAAAGCTGTCTGATCAAAATACATAAAAAGTTCCTTTCCCAATGTCTCCACACCCCTGTAAACATGTCCAACAAGGAAATCATGACCAGAGGTTCTCTCTTCACTTGCAGCAGTCTGAAAATGAGTACACACACACACACAAAGTTTAAAACAGAATTTATACTATTTTGATTCTAGCATCAGTACACATTCAGCAAGTAGCTGCATGAACTAATTTTCCATCTTGGACAATATTAAACCTTTTCTCCTTAGGCAGCTCTATCAAAACCAATGATACTAGTAACCCAGGAAGCAGACAATCGCTATTGCTAATGCTATCGTAACTTAGCTCATTCTTTTCTAAATTGAAACAATACATCTTTTTTATCAGGGTATTTTATGCCTTTTCCTTCAAGTCATGAATTCACGGTAAGAGTTTCAGGCTGATGAAAACTAAACAGATATAGTTGGAATATTAAATACTTGTTAGAGTGTCAATACTGCCATTTGCAGACCTACATCCTTCTCCAAATGCCTCTTGCTGGAGTTTCTATCCAAGCTAATAATATGCTTTCAGTGTTTCATGTAGGGCATTGTGTATTACAGAAAAGCCTCCACTGAGCCCACAGAGATATTGCTCTCTTCCTACTAGTTGAAAGTCTAATCTCAGAAGATGTTGAACAGCAGGTGGGACACTACTAGAGGACAAGAAAAACATAATTGTGAGATTGACGCAATAATCTTTTCTTGCTTGGCACGTGAAACTCCACTGAAATTATAAGAAGGGATCTCTGCAGATTATCTGGTCCATACACCTGCTCAAAGCAGGACTGACTTAGATGAGGCAGCCCAGGGCCTTGTCCAGTCAATTTTCGGAGTAGCTCCAGGGTTAGAGACTCTCATGTCTCCGGGCTCTTGTTCCAGGGCTTCACTATTGTCATGATGGAAATTTTTTCCTAATACCTAACCAGAATTTATTCTGTTGTCGCCTGCACCTGCTGCCTCTCACCTTACTGTGCACCACTGACGAGTATCTAGCTCTGTCTCCTCCATCCATAGCTTCCTTTTAGGTAGCTGAAGAGAACAATAAAAACACAGTTCTATCAGGTCCTCCTTGTGCATCATGTGCGTCAGCCTGCTAGTCATACCAGGGGACTCCCTCTAGTATGTTATTATCTGGCACAGGCCAGGCCTCTGCCATTGCATGACATTACTCTGTTCCAAGTGCAGGACTCTGCAAGTCCTGCAAATACTGAACTTAAGTTTCTGCTAGCCCATTTTTCTCAGCCTCTCAAGGTCCCCCTGACTAGCACCTCAAGTTCCCCAGAACCTGCTGAAACCTGCAAGCAGTATATTTACTGTCACCAGAGCCCTAACTGCAAGGCACAGATATGTGTACCAGTGCTCCTATCACAACACTCAACTGCAAAGCAAATATGCATTAAAGCGACTCTGGCAAATCAGCAAGGCTTCAGCTAGTTAGTGAAATTTCAGAGCTACTCTCTATACAATCTCCCACTGTATTATTACCTTGAAATGATATACAGTTAGAGGGTTTTATGGTTATTATTCTGTCAAGTAGAAAAATAAAAATATTTTTTGCATAACATCAACATCATTTACTTTGCCTATTATCAAAATATGAAGAAAGCAAAATTTTGCTCTCACATAAACAGTCCTTCCCTTCAATAAAAGTATTAAAGTAAGTTGGTGTACGACAAGGTTTATTTTGGTTTTAAGCCACTCAGGTCTGTTTAAACTAAACCAGAGTAAGAAGTGACCGAGATGGAAAACTAACTTGTTTTTTCCAAATATTTTAAGTTAAATTCATACCACTTTGGTATCAGGTGAGTCCTTACAGTCATCATAGTACGAACTCTCTTAAACAGTGTAATCTTCAGCAGCAGCCAAGGCTTTGGCCATGGTTAGCAGCTACTGTGAGATCTGAAAAGCCCAAGACCCTTATGATGTTCATTTGCCAACGAATAGAGTCTGCCCTGAGGTGACTTTTACTGTACAAAGTTACGCATATCAATATATTTGAGGGTATGAAATTTTGTTTTGAAACCATAGGAGCATAAATCCTTACTTCAAAAAGCTTAGTCCTGAAAGATACAAACCTATGAAGACTGATCTGTGGACTGCCTTAGACAGACATATCTTGAAACACATTCTTCCTTAAATTGTTCTTTCATTGAAGTACTGTCTTACTGAACCTTAAGCACAAACTCTCCTACGCTGCCTTCTGTACACTGAAGGTGGGGAAAAATTCCCCAACTTTCTGTCTGGAGGCATCCAATATACTTACCTGGGACACAAGCGACACACAATTTCTCACAGCTGAGCAAAACCAGGCATGAAAAAAAAAATACCCTAGCCACCCTCTGTAATCAAAACTAGAGGACCATATCTTCACAGCTCATCAGCTAGACCTGCTTACTGACATCCTAACTTCTACCAGAAGGTCTCATGAGTCCCAGCGGAGTCTTATACTGGTGAATTTTTTTATGCTGCCAACAGAATGGATAAAAACTAGTAGAAAAATTGCATACTGTGTACACTGGGGGCAGATACCACATTATTTGTTTAAATAGTTGGTCTAATCAAAATTATTTTGAAAAAAAAGTTAGAAAATTAAAAGCTCCTTTTCTGCAGGCCAGTATGTACATTCTCTCACCACGTTTCATTCAGGCTTGTGAAGACTTACGACATTATAAAAAAATTAAAATTAGGAGCCGCTACTGTAATTTTCCTTGTATTGTAGGTTTCCTGAAGCTAAAGGATATTTTAAAATTTACCCTAAGTGAACAAGAGCGATTCTAAAAGCTTTCCCTCATTATTTCCCAAAACCCCCATGTTTCTACAGCTTCAGCACCTCTTTACACATCCGAAGTGCTAAGGCTTATTCATTACGTTGACGGTAAGAATATTTTGTAGTTTAAAGGAAAAAAAAAGACAGTATCCACAGACGACCCCCCCAGACGACGGCAGGCGGGGCGCAGGAGCTCTGCCGCAACCGGGGCGGGGAGGCGAGGCCACGTCTACCCTTAATTTAGTGGTGGACTTGGTAACGTTAGGTTAATCGTTGGACTGGATGATCTTAAAGGTCTTTTCCAGCCTGAACGGTGCTACGATTCTACGTCGACCGCGCCAACTGCCCCGCTCTGCGCTCAGGCCCGCCAGCCCCGCGCCCCAGCGAGCCCAGCCGGCTCCGAGACTCCTTTCCTCTGCCCCAAACCTGGCGGCCTTGACCGCCGCGCACACCCAGGAGCTCAGCTCTGCGCCGCCGCGCCCGCTCCT